CCCAATTATGGGATGTACTAAGATCCCATAGTAAGATACCTTCAGCACCTACTTTTACTTAAGCGCTTACTTACTGCATCTGTGAAATTGTTTGGATTGCTCGGTCATGTGCCAACACATGCTTCTGTGTCAGCATTGTGCATTTTAGATTTGCTGCGGCAGGCGAACCGCTGCCTTGGCACCCAAATGTGCTCTGAGGGCAGGGACTTTGTCCAGCGCTGTGTTTTGGGTACAGCTCTTATAAGGCCACTAACTGCTCAGCTGTAGGGGCCTCTCTGCCCCTTCAGTATCTTCATACTAGATGGAGCCAGACAACTTCTGCATCCCTGAGGTACTTGGAAGCAAGAAGGAACTTTTAGGGGGGAGCCTGGAAGGGAATAAATGGACTTCTGGAAATTCTACTATGATTAGCAGCTGGGGGCTAGGGCCCAAGCAATTGAACTCTAAGAATGTAATAAGGAAGAACTGCCCCATCCAATGGAGTCACTCACCAGTTCCCTTTTCTCTTTACTGAGACCAGTAATTCCATGTCTAGAACTCCTGGTAGTTATTTTATAGAACTTTCCCCCCTCATCCTGCTTTGTCAAGACTCAGTTATAGTATCTTCTTTCTAAACATATTTCTCAAGTCCAGTAGATTTTTTAAACTCGCAACCTGCATTTGACCCACAGATGAATTCCTATTTGAAATTTCATCTATTTAATGTAAATTATTCCCAGAGCCCAGAGGTGATTATCCTCAGCACATAATCAGATACATTTGAAACTCTCCACATAGATCACTGGGGATACTGGTTTCTCTGGCTGTGAAGCTTCCTGTTTTTTCCCTTATTGATAAATCCCATTCTAAACAACCCATCTTACAGCTTTTCTTTTTCCAAGGGGAAATTCATGAGCTATTATGGATGGCCATTCTACTATTCCTTTTGGTCAAGTGTTTTATTTATTCCGTAAACATTTGTCATTGTGGGCAAAAAGGATGGTTAACTATTAACATACTTAAAACAACATGTTTAAAATAAAGTGCTAATTTTTTTGTTTTGCTTTTTAAGAAAGATGAATAACAGGAGTGTGGATAATTATTGCAAAGGGGAGACAAGGGACCCCGGAAAGCTCTCTAGAAGGCTACTGCAATAGCTGAGGCAAAAAGGAATAGAACATAGAATAATGTTAAAGGAGAGATTAGTCAGTAAAAGAGATTGGATATGGGGGTGCAGGATGTTTTGGAATGAAAGAAAGTGATTTTAGGGTTTGGGTCTGTTGAGTTTAGGTGCTGAGGAAAATCTCCACTGATGTTCTGCTGAAACCATAGGGAGACAGATACCTGAGATTTAGGACAAAGAAGTGAGTATTTCCACTCTGGAAACACGGGTGTGCATTTTAACAAAGACTGCCAAGAATTCAGATTGAACCTATCATTTACCTATTACATTGGCTAAGCAACAAATGACAACATTTTAAGCCTGTACTGTGTACACTTTCACATTGCTGACACCAGTGTAAATTTGTGCACTCTTTCTGGAAAACAGGTTGTCAATATTTATCATGAGCCTTTGAGATGCTCTGTCCGCTGATTCAGTCATTTCACTTTTTGGAGTCAGTGTTAAATTAATGATCCAAAATGCAGACTGATTATGTAGAGAGTTGCTCACTACAATGTAATATTCAATTGAAAAAATGAAGCCTACAAACAAGCTCACTCAGTAAGAAAATGATTCAAGTGTAGCATGTTCATATACTAGCTGCCATTAAACATTTTTTTTGTATTAAATTTTTGTTTGTAAGAAATGCTTTATGAGCCTTGGGAGAAAAACCCAACAAGGATATACAACTATATACAGAATAAGAATTCAACTCTGCCAAAAATAAGCCTAGTGTAAGGATAGAAAAAATACACTAAAATGTCACTGTGGATTATTTGTTTGGGAAATTGAGGCACGAGTTGGTGATTTATGAAGTCCAGTAACTGAGTTTGAATTGGGATCAAATAATATATTTTTTCTTATTTAAAGTTTCTTCCCCCTCTTCTCAAAATGCATCTGCTAATGTTCAGTTACTAATGCAATAATAATCTTTGGCTCATAGGCCATACCTTCTATTACAAATCCTGACCATGTTGCTCTTTTTTAATGGATGCAGTCCATCAAAGGCCTAGAACCCCAAACCTCATTTTCAAGTTAGTTAATATCACATCATTGCACAATTTCACATATGCCACCAGACTATTGATGATGCCTCCCATGCCCTTAGCTTGCAGACACGATGATCTACTTTTATTTCAAGGGACATTTTTACACAAGAAATTCCCCATATTCTCTGGATATGTTAAAGACAAAAGATTAGCATCATGCATCATTGGGGAAAGGGTAATTTATCATTAGGGCTTATTTCAGCTGCACGCGCAAGTGGCTAAAAGAATGCCAGTCACCCCCAGGAGCACATCTGATAGAAAGCTGATGAGTATGAAGAATGTACTCACCGGCTTCCAGAACTGAACTGCAAATATCTTAGAGCTGGAGATATGGTGAATCACACCTCAACTTCCTTCCAGGTATTAACGCTGAACAAAGCATGTTGTTTCAGGGCTCCAGGAGGGCCATCTCTGTCTCTGTCTCACACACACACACACATTGATAGACAGCCCAGTCCCAGCTCTGCAGCCTCTCTTCTTGAGAACTAACCTCGATAAAATGACTTTTTAAAAAAAGTTATAGAGGTCAGTGTTTTATCTCCTATAGATAAAGGCTATTGAAAAACTGTACCATGATTATTTCCCAAAGGCACACTGACCATATTCCAAAGTCCAAATGGGGATATGTGGCCAGTGGAATGGAATTTGCATTAGGTTTTGCTTTCTAGGACTTTTTGGCACTTTAGATCAAGTGTGGGGAATTTTCCACCTTAGAGGAGTCCCAACCATCCAGGGCAGAAGCCAGAAAACTCCCCTTTCCTGCCTTCCTGATATTTTTACAGGGAGCTGCTGTGTTAACAGTGAGAACTGACTCATACACACCCACATGGGGCGACTCCAGGAGCGAGGGCTATGACGAGGCAGGAGCACGCAGGAGAGCTGCAGCACAGTATCAGTGAGGGAGATGCGGGGTGGCGGGGTCCCTCCTGGAACAGCCCATCTGGGCATTTGTTCCACAGGTCTCTAAATCCAACTCTACAGTCCTAAAGTGGCTCCACATGTTTTCAGGTAGGCCTTCCAGTCAGTGACTTAGTTCAATGTCATTCCATCATATTTTGGAAAAACATTTAACAGGTACTCCCCAACCCATTTGTCCATTTTTAAAGATTTATGCATACAATACCAAAGTTTAATGAGGAAATACTAAAATATCAAGCATATTCATGTAACAGAATTCTATACAGCAGTAAAAATGGAAAAAAATTAAACTACTGTTACATGTAACAACATGGACAACTCTCACAAGCATAAATTTCATCAGCAGCAGCCAGACACAAGATCTACATACTATGAGTCCATTTAAAGAATGTTAGAAAGACAGGCAAAAACCAAACCGTGGTGCATTAACTCTGGAGAGGCACAAGCCTCCCTTGGGCAAGGCTGACACACATGTACTGTTTCTTCATCTGGGTGTGGATACATGATGAGTGTTACTTTGTGAAAAACTCACACTGTGTACTTTCTTATATGTATTTCATACTTCAATAAAGTTTTTATCACTGGATTCATGTCATCTTTTTTACTTCACATCTCATCAATAATGCAGCACATTGCTGATAGTTTTACAAAGCTATTATGCATTACTAGACCTCAGAAAATACTTAAAAAATAATATCAATACATGAATTCGAAAATAGTCTATACCCAGGGACTGCACTGCAATTTACTCAAGAAAAGATCAGCTTTGCAAGGTTTACTCTGCCCGAGCCCTTCTCAGAGGGAAGAGTTCAGTCTGGGGAGTGCTCAGGATTGCGCCGCCCCGATCCCTCCTCCCCACTGCACAGGGGTCTCCAGATCATGCCTCTGAGAAACCCTAGCTTCGCGGACAAGGCCCTGTGCACGAGGACACTCCCTTTCAAATTCACAAAAATGAAAGTGAGAAAAAAATGAAAGTGAGATAAAAACATTTTTTTAAAAAAAGGTAGTTTCACATTATTTAATGCAACTCGATGCGGGGACCGGGGGTGGGCGGCAAATTGAGATTTGAAAAAGAATGGAACACCATAGAAAACCACATCGACAAAGGCAGCCAGAACTATCTTATTTATTATAAAGATACACCGTGAAGAACAGACCTGACTGTATACTGAAGCCTGGGATGGTACATGCCAAAATGTACAGTACTATACATAAAAGTGCACTGCCACAACAGGTTAACAAAACATCTTTTCTTCCAGAAGTGTAAAAGCATCCCCCTCTCTGCTCACCTCAGGGAAGAGGGAGCGGTGTCAGGCCGCAGAGGGGCGAACACGAGGCAGCAGCGGGGCGGAGGGCCGGGAGAGGCACGGTCACGGCCACGAGGAAGGCGACAGTCTGAGGACCGACCGGGAGGCGAGACGGGGGGACACCGAGCACCGCGGCCAGGAGCAGGGGGAGGCTAGGCAGAGAGCAGGGGGCGGGAGCAAAAGGAAAGAGCAAGGCTAAAACTCCTCTAAAATAGAAAGGCACTTTCACGTGTACATACTACAGATGTACATCGACACGATTAGGGAACAGTCACACGCAGGAGGCTACCAGTACTGCAGTTGATCAACTCACAGGAAAGGACAACACTCATTTCATTACGCGACAGGAGTTACCCCTAAGCCCCTAGTTTAATAGCAGTCTCTCCTGTTACACAGCCACTTACTCTACTTTAAATGTCTATAATAACCATCACACTACACACTGAACTTGGATGAATGCTCTAAAGGGGGCATTCACAAACGCATGGTTTAGATATTTTCTTTTACTACAGTTTCTAAGATAAGCATTATGGATCCAGTACAATTATTAAACATACAAATTTCCCTACATAATTTAAAGATACAGGTACCCAGCTCCAGGACACCAGAGGTTTTTCTTTTTTTTTTTTTTAAGTGTGCTAGGGTAAGTGAAAGCTCAATTTCCAGTTTGTTTTACCAATCTGAACGAAGCTGTGCCACGCATCACCCAGGACCCAGCCTGATGCCCAGCCCTGCTGGAGGAGGGCTCTTTGGCTGGGCGGGGGCTTGGTTTGGAGGAGGGAGCTTTTTTACACAAGGGTAGAGCCTTCACTGCTAAGCTGCTCCCTGGCTTGGGGTCTTTGCGGTGGGTAACTCAGAACAAGACTCAGTCCCAAGTGCTTTTCTTGCATTCAGGGCCTCTCACTACTGTGGTCAGAAATAAATGAAGGTCATTTCACATCTGAGGTCTTCTAGACCCCTCAACAGATCCGTACACTCTAATGCTGGGTTTCAGAGGCTGTCATTCCGAAGTGCTGAGGAGACCACAACCATCCCTGCTTTACTACAAGTCTTATTTTGGAAATAGCAAGTGTACAAAGACAGAAAACTCTTAATTGATAGTTTAATCCTTGCAACTCTTTATCCATTGATAACTGTTCCCATTCACTGCAGTTGATTAAGTGGGACTCTGCTGTAAATCCATCTATGTAGAGCTCCAGGGGCACAGAAGTCAGCGTTACATTGTGTGAAAATGTGCAAAACAATTGCAGCAATGGTGTTGACACTGAACCTGAATATGGTGCTCTACAGTGGGCTATTGAACAGGTTGAAACAACTTATAGAATATGCATCAGAAAATGTGTACTAAGTATCTTTCTCTCTATCCTAATAACCCACTGCCAACATCCCCACCCAAACCAAAAAAAGGATCAACTTGGTAAACCTACTTCAATGAGTTCTAAGAATGGGATATGGACATAGAGGTGTAGCAGCTTTGAATGCATATTCTTGTGTAAATGGAGTCAGGTGACTTTTGTAGAACCATCATTTACCCACCATCAGATTGATCACCTTCCCAAACTGTGCACAAGGAATGACAAGATCCTTGAAACTGGGGCCATAACATCTTAAGGACTCATTTTCTCTCCTTTCCCCACTCGTTGTACCTTCCCGTCTCCCCACTGCATGCTATACCTATGGCTGTAAAGAAGGCATGTACCAGGCGAATCCTCTCAGAGGCTGAAGCTTTTATGGAGCTTACTGGGTGTCATTTTGGATCCTTTGTGAAGTGGCCACCTTGTCTCATCCCTGGAACCTAAAGACTAAGGACAGGCGAGTCCTTACTGAGTACTCATTCTGAGGTAACATCCTTCATGGGAATTGGAAAAAGAAAGTCTCAGCATTACAACAGGGGGAAAGGGAGAAAACAGAGAGAATAGAGACAAGTAAAGTAAGGATTAACGGGAAGGCGTTAGAAGCTGTTTCTTGGAATAAGGTGCAGCCTTTGAGGCTCTGAGGGGCTAGAGCAGCATGTCCTCAGCCACTCAAGGCGGCAGTCCTGATCTGGTGTAGGAAGGCAGTTCTCATTCCATTGCAGGTGTAAACACCAAAGACCGGACACACGGGAGGATTACCAGCGACAAGCCTGAAGAAATGCGCTTGCAGGAGTGAGATCTGAAACACTAACGTTAAAGCTCGTTAAAGATTCCCTGACCCCACCAACAAATTATTATATAAATTTTAACACCTCTGACCTTGTTATGCCCTGTTAACATCTTACTCTTCCATCAAAGATGGAAAATAGCTTTTAAGAATCCTTATTTACTTTCTAAAAGATTTAAAGTTCCCGCCCCCATTACTTCCACCTTTATTTCTGGTTCTGTTTCGCCATTTAGTCATAGAGAATTAGAAATCGAAGTACAATTGGGAAAGAACTGGGAGGTAATTTAGGAAAGTTAAAGTTTCCTAGGGAATTTGGGAGATTGTTTACAAGGCTTAAATGCCTCTCAGAGCTTAGCTCTGGCTGAGTCTCCATGCTATTCAACTGAAGGACTTCTGAAGCTCGAGAGAAATGATGAGGGGTTGGACAAGATGCTGAGTTGGGCATCTTTTTCAAAATTGGCAAAAAGGATGGCTTAGAAAACTCAGAGGTTTAAAAGTTTACCATATATGGCAATACTTGACCAGTGTTTTCCTTAGTCAATCCATTTATGAATTTCGGCTGCAGGTAAGCAACCAGCAGTGTTAACTTTGAAAGGTAACAACAATCTCTCATTGATTTAATCTCTCTCTGCATTAGGATTAGATTGGCAAACGGGAGGTAGAGATCAAAGTAACGATCTTGATTTTTAGTAGACCCTCATTTTGCATGATGCATTCACCAATGGATTGGTAAGTTAAAGTCCATGCTGTAAAACTCTCACATGGGCATGAAATTGGCTGCCAGTTTGAAACCATACCTAGAAGGCAATCAACAGTGGTCCAGAGAGACTAGTTCTGAGTCATCTATTTTTCTTAAAAAAAAAAAAAAAGCTCTTCATTAGTAAGTTCAATGATATAGTAGAAAAACGCTTACAGGTTTGCAGATATAAACTGCTGCTGGTAGGACAGTGGTGATTTGTACCTTAGTAAAAACAACAGAATCCAAAGCCATCTTTTTAAGATAGAGGGAAAATATAAATATGGGAAAAAGAAAAATTGTCTATCTGTTTGGATGTCAGAGAAAGAGGGTCCCTAATGGAGCTCACCTGTATATAGAGACCACATGAAAAAAAAGAAAAAGGTCATGGTTCTAGGGTGTAGAATTGGGAGGGGCTCTCTTGGAACCATGAGCTAATCTTCCCACTCTGGCCAGCACCACAGCCAGTTCTAGTTTGGCTCAAAGAGGCAAACGGAGAGGAGAGCTGGGGATTCGATTTAGCATTATCAGGCCTCTGCAGTGCATTTAAAGGAACCACCGTCACTGAGTCAGGGGGAGAGAAGGCTGAGTAAACCCCGGGCTGGGTGCTGCTTGCTCCGTCCATTTCCACAGAGAGCACTGGGATCTAGGGGAGCTAGCAGCATTTTCTAGGCAGTTATTAACAACAGATCTGTGAAGGAATTATGGAGGAGTGTAAGCAGAATGTCTTTGAAATGTGGCTGCTCTAGTCCTTTGTGAATGCAGGGAATGGCTTTGGAAATCTTTCGGGGCCTGGTCCGACTCTCGGAAGGAGTCACAACACTAGCTCTGGGGACCGTCTGTTTCTCCTTTCCCAGTTTCAGTTCAAGCTGTCACAGCAGAGGCTCTACCTCTTTCCACTAGGCCTTCAGCCTGGACCCAGGTAAGTAACATTATGAAAGAGGCCACCATCCAACTCATTCAGGCGAAGGTCTGCAAGTCCCACGCGGACCATCCATCCCACTGTGGTAACTGCAAATGTTTAGCCTGAGCTGGACCCTGGCCCACAGCATGGGATCAGATGTGCTGTCAGCTACCAAACAATGCCGTTACCACCTTGCAGCCATCCCCCCTAGTGCCACAGAGCAACACTGCTTATATTCCAAGGCCTGGGACTCAGCTTCTCATGCCTTGGGAGCCAGACACTTCTGACTCGGTCGAGCTATGCTACACCTGACACACTCTGGGGGTGGAGAGCAGAGCAGGGTGGCCTCCGGGGTGAGTGGTGCAGCATTGGATTTTCAAGTCTAAGTATTCTTAAAAATGACATATGTCCAGTTATTTAAAAAAAGAAGAAATTACAAAATACAAATGCCCATGTTAACTTAGCTAATCTCAAGATGTTACATTTGAGAACATAGAAAAGCCAGAAGATCTCCAGTTATAAGCACGAAACTAAGGAAAGTTATGGATCACTGACTTTTGTCACTAATCCGCATTCTCTTTTAATCACCTCCCCGTATGACCTTGCTCTGCTGGATTTCACATTGTGCAAGACTTGTCTGTGGGAGCCTGGGCAGGGGCAGCGGGTCCTACGGTTGGGTTTGTTTTTGGAAGAACAGCAGGTTTCGGCCGAAGGGCTGGGGGCTTCAGCTGCACGCCCATTCTGGGTGCCACCAAAGGCTTGAAAGTACTCATTGTGTCACTGGAGGAGCTAGTGCTACGTCGAATCTGAGGCTCCGAGCTCCTGAGGGCAACGTTGTGCAAAGGGCTGAGAGACTCAGTGGAAGTGGCTGGGGTGGGAGAGTTTTTCACTTGTTCTAAGGTGTCCAGCACCACATCGGGGGCATGCTTTGCTGTACTCTGTCTCTCCAGTTCTCGGAGCTCATTCAAAGCAGTGTTCATCGTCTCTTCGATATCCTGTTGGAAAATAACCAGAGAGAAAGACAGGAGAGACAGGTAATTAACACTGATGTATAGAAACCTATCTCCTTCATCTCAAAGATAACAGGCCAGCAAAAAGCATGAATGTTTTAATTCCATAGGCTGTAGAATGTATCAACATAATGCTGTATCACACAACTATCTCCGAACATTCTGGAGACCAAGATGCAATAGCTCATGGAGCCATACATCAGACACGTTCCATTCTAAGGCACTAGGGAGTCTTCTAGTGGTTTCTACCTTATAAGTGGACTTACTACAAATAACTCTATTTCAACATACAGTAAAGGCTGAAACTTAGATACTGCAACAATTTCACAAGAAATAAATGTGAAGAGGAATGAAAAATCAGCTTTCTTTCATTCATTCAACAAACAGTTTTTGAGCACTTACTATAGACTTCACTAACTCCTAGCAGTTCTACAAAACTTAACTTAAGCCTTCCCCTGAGTTCTTGTCAGTGGATGTCAACAGAAGCAGTAATGCCCCATGGGGTCATTTTTGTAATATAGGGTATAACTTTTTTTATTGAAGTATCACTGATACACAATCTTATACTGGTTTCAAGAATACAACACAGTGGTCCAACAGTTACACATATTCTTAAATCCTCACCCCCACTAGTGTAGTTACTACCTGTCAATATAGGAAGATGTTAGAGAATCATTGGCTATATTCTCCATGCTGTACTACCATCCCCACCACCAACTTATATTATGATTGAGAATTTCTGTGACACTTTATCTTCCTCCCCCTCCCCTTCCCCACTCACCCCAACCCATCCCCCATGGTAATCCCAAGTCACTTCTCACTGTCTACGCATCTACTGCTATTTTGGTCACTTTGTTTTGCCTTGTTTTTCTATTGCACAAGGGTGTATGTATTTTTAAATGTCACAATAATGGGGTGGCATTATTGGCATTTGGTAAGCAGGGGCCATACATACTAGATACCTTGCAAGTGTTCTGGATAGTTTATATAAATGCTTTGTCCTGCATCCTGTTTAACTTCTGAATGTCCTTCAGATACTTATGCAGGTGAGAATCTTGTTTATAATAATCTGAGCTAGACGCTAACTTCTTTTTTATATATAGACACAAAGTATTTTTTTTCATGGTGTGAAGTTTCCTAGGGCTGCAGCTATCATGTAAGTTATGCTTTGTTTTGATTAGAACTGTATGACCGAGCATTGTCTGCCATTTTAGACAATCACATCACTCATGGGAACATCTTTTATGGAATTTAAGACTGATGAACTTAGTATTCTTCCTATCGATGTGCATTTTAATTGTCTTTATGGTAATTCTACATGTAAGTGCAAGCATCTTATGCCTTGGTCATCTAATATACTCAAGCATTAACTGAGCTACATTTATTTTAGTATGTATTTCCTTTTATTTTTCCTTTATATATTTAGAACTTTATCTGTTTTTTCAAATTAGGTATATCACCTATCACTTTATTTCAGATAGTAAAGGGGGAATTACAAAATGTTTGTTTCACACAGGTGGAGTGCGCGCCATTGACAGATGAATAGATAAGCAAAATGTGGTCTGTTCAATGGAATATTATTCAGCTTTGAAAAGGAAGGCAATCTTGCCAGATGCTACAACATGGAATAAATCTTGAGGACATTAACTGAAATAAGCCAGTCAGAAAAAGACAAATACTGCATATTTCCACTTATATGAGATAGTCACATTCCTAGAAGCTGAAAGCAGGATGGTGATGGCCAGGCACTGGGGAAAGTTGGGGAAAGGGGAGTTGTCCTTCAATGGACATACAGTTTCAGTTTTGCAAGATGGAAAAGTTCTGGAGACCTGTTTCACAAAAATGTGAATATATTTTACTGAAACACAAAGTAAAAAATGATGAACATGGTAAATTTTATGTTATACGCCCATATACAAAAGGTGGAGCATGTGGGAGGGTGGGCAAGAACAGCTGCCCTGCTCAGATTGATATGACTTTGCTCTACATTCCCAGAGCTTCTTTCTGCTCACCTGGAGCATAAATTTGGGGTTCTGCATGAGAGTAACTGATTTCCATATCCGTCTCCCTCACTGGACTGGAAATGCCTTCAGGCAGCAGCTGGCTATTGATTTAACTGCACCCATAAGGCCTAGAGCAGGACCTGGCGTACAGTGTTTAACAAAAGTTCGCTAAACGATTAAACCAAGACATGATGGTCACATATGGATATTGTAGTTCTTACACAAGCTGCATCAGGGATTCCACTGATTTGTTTAATAAAAGAACTGGCACGTTTTTTGTATGAACACCATGAGAGCAGGATTACTTGCCCTCCTGGGAAAATCTGAAGAGGAGAGATGGAAAGATAAATAAAGGACACAGCTGGAAGCCATTCTGTGAGGCTGACATCACTTTTCAAGTGATTATTTTCATATGTGACTTCCATTTGATGCTAAACATATGGATTATTTTACAAGTATTTGCCCTAGAGAATGTGCTGAGCCTGGTTTATCTGTTTAAGTTTTTGTTTTTATGATTTACAATTAAAAGATTTCCTGGTTTTAGAAGCAAACAGACCTTATTATGCCTTCCTACCTTCAAACTCCTAATTCCCTCTCTCTCCACCCTAAATCATGTTTCACATACTTTTTTTAAGCAGTGATGTTATGGATTTTGCAAATCGTTAAATTCGGCTGTAGTTGAATATCACTGGTTCTAAATAGGCCTCAAAGGGCCCTGCATAGTATTGTGAAATAGAGAAAACCAAAAAGATAAAAAGTTTTTGATTTTTGCTGAGAAACTGTTGTACACTTAAAATTGGTTTAATTTTTAAAACACATGAAACTCCTCACGATCTAATTTGCTATCCAAAATTCTCTTTAGTTTGGGACACAGAAAATAGCTTGGAAATTTGTCATATCAGTGCAGTGCAAGTTTCCTTGGGTGCTTTTTATTAGAAAGAATCCATTTTAATGCTTTACCAAGTTTGTTTCTTTCATTTCTCATTCACTTTCTGTTTTGATCAATCTAGTCCATTTTTAAGCTTCAGTGACAGCCAGAAGATGCTTTAGATTACTCAAATGGCAAGCCCTGGATCTGTTTTCACCTCTTTTGTCATAGATGATACACATATTTCCTGATGGCTTCTGCTGCAAAAAGAACTTGAGGGAAAAATGGTAGAAGGATGGGAAAAATCCATTAATACTGTTTTACTTTCACTCTGTCCATTCTCATTATTAGAAAAAAAACTACAAGGTCCTTTTCTGCAGGAACTGTTGGGAAGTGAAGACATGTATGCATTCAGGACTGACAAAGATCCAGACTTGCTGTTGTTCTTCAAATGGCTCACCACTATTTCTCATATTATTTATTGGCTAGTTCATCATTTCCTCAGTTGAAAGTGTCATCTTTATCAGATACTACGTTTTTCCATTTCTGGGCTCTCCATTCGGTCCCATCAATATGTTTGTGTACTGTCTTTAGCATGCATTTGGGGCTGGTAGGGTACACCTTCCTCACTGTTCCTTTCAGAATTTTCCTGGCTGTGTAGTAATGAGGCATTTGAATACTCTGGGTCCTACCTTCTGCCATGTCTCTGTTTAAAACAATATTGACCTAATACACTTGGTCCTTAGAGTAGCAGATGGTTTTTCAAAAAGAGACCTATAGTCAGGCCTTAAAGAATGGGCTAATTTCCTCGATGTTTTCATTAGTTGGTTCTATACAAACAAATTTGGCTACAGAAAGTAAACCCTGTTACACCTCCTTCATCACATCACGTACTGAGCCTTCCACTAAGGCATCTACCTGAGCAATCGTCTCTGGGTCCAGTGGCTTGTGGTCATTGAAGCCTGAGTACTGCCCTGATGACGTGGACCTTCTAATGGGAGGGCTGTCGATCTTCTTGAGGGAGTCGTGCCGGCTGATGTTGGTCAGACTGCCATGGCCTGGCCGGCGCCTCCTCTCAGGACTGTCACTGTTGAGGCCTCGGTTCTGCAGCAGGCCCCGGGGGTGACTGGCCAGGCTTGGGGACCCCAGGTCAACTGAGGAGTTGGAAAGAATGTGTGGAGGGTGGAGGGGGCAATGGCCATCACTGGTCCTGCCAGGGCGCCTTACAGGAGGGGGTGGCTCTCCTCTTTTTCTTTGTCTGGATGTGAGAGAGAGAGAGAGAGAGAGAGAGAGAGAGAGAGAAAATTGGTAAGCTTATCACACTTGGTAATTGGTAATACTGCAAGGCTGCAGGGAGCATGGCTTCTCACAGCCCCAGAAAAGTGGAGGTTCGGGAACCCGACTACAGGTAGACTCCACTTACCTGGCTAAACAGCCATCCGGATGCCGGTCTGTTGGCGAGTTCATGTCCTTGGATGAAGACTTGTCTTCAGTGACTGGTCCACTGCTGGCCTCACTGTCAGCTTTTTGGCTCAGAGTGTCTGAAAATGTATCATCCCTGAAACAGGGGGCATTGAGCGTGGGTCTTTGTGATATGATGAGGGACAAAGAAATTACTGATGGCATTTATGTGCATACATCTTTCTCTTATGAACATAACTTTTTTTTTTATTATAAAAACAATATAATTTTATTGCAGATATGTTGGAAAATTCAGATATACAAAAAAGAGTGAAGTAACAATTACCCATAATATACAATAACACCCAGAGATAACTGCTGTAAGTATTTTGGCATATATCCTTCTACACTTTCTTTCTGTGCATGGGATACATATTGATGAGTATGTGCATATATAGGTGTGGTATTTATACTATAGATACTTATAGTTTATGTACTATAAATATATGACTACATGTCTGTATATACACACATGATATTTCTGGGATTCTGAGATGCCCATTTTCTTGCATGTAAAATTAGGCCGAGTAATCTAATCAGTGTATACATTTTACGTGGCATATTTCTGTTTTCCTTAAAAAACTGCTCTTAAATTGGTGCTGCACTATGAATATTGTATTGACAAAAATAGGGATCATATCATACATATTATCTGGTAACCTGTTTTCTTTCACTTAATATAATAAGACAATCTTCCCATCTGTAAATATTTTTGAAATCAGAACTTTCTCATCAGTAAACCAAAAAAAAAAAAAAAAGGCCTGGACTGGAGATGATTCTCTTTAGACTTCAGGTCGGTATCCTCCCTCTAGGGAATCTGGAATTGAAAAAACACTAGCCAGATACCAAGAGAAGAGCGCCACTGATTTGGGAATTAGCATCCCTTCAGCTCTTAAGGCTATTCTCTGCATAGGTTATTTTTCTAAGAACCTGAAAGCTTCAACAGGCTTCTCTCACTAGCCTTTGCTCGAAGACCTTCTAGAAGAGTTTGGGAAATGAAAACCTGCTGACCCTGAGGTCCTGGTGACAAAGACTCATCAGCAAGGTGAAGAAGTGCCCAACTTGGCAGTTTTAGCTCTGTAATCCCGCCCGCTCTTTTCTCCCCAGACCCAGGTCAGTTTGAGAACAATGGCTGGAGTCCTCTGCTGGGAGGTATCTGGCCATCGGAGCCAGGATGGACTACTCACAGGTCCTGCACAACTATGTACTGGTGCGGCACGAGCCCATCAATCCCGTTGTGCCGTCCTTCCCACCAGTCCTCGGACGCGCGGTGGTACAACAGCAGCGAGGCTCCCTTCTTGAAGGACAGTTCTCTGGCTGATCGCCCAACATAGTCAAACTTAGCTATTGCTTCTATTGGCTCACACTCTGCAGAGAACACACCAGAAAAGGGTGAGGGACCCAGATGCTAGGAAGGCATGATATGCTTTCTGAAAGGTTTATATGAGGCCTTAGAAATAAACAAGGCCATTTTAATATCCAGAGTGAACAATGGGATAAACAAATCACCCGGACTGGCGAAAAAAAGGCTGTTAAATGAGATTTAGAAAAACATTCTCTTGCTGTCATCAGTATTTCAGGCAAAGAAAAACTGAATAGTAGGTCTTAATTTCCACAGCCTCTTACTAGAGATAGAATGACAATCTAATAAAAAATACTTAAAATGTTTGCAATATGATATATAAGATCTCTTCTTGGGTTGTAATATCCTCCACAATTGCTACCATATTATCTTGACATTGATGGGGTTCCCTTGCAACATGTTAATACCATTTATAACATGGAAAAAATCACTATCCCAGAAAACTAGGAAGTTTGAGCTTTATTTGCTTGTTTAAAAAATATCAAATATATAAAAGGCACCACATTAAATACTATTTGAGTACATTTGATTTCCTCATGTACTTTACACTATCAAATCTTCACATTACCATCAGCAGTAGAGACAACTTTGTTTCTGCTAGTATCAGTAACAAATCTGGGATGTTATCTATGAAGCAAACGTATCTTAGACCATCCTGTACCCAAATTAAAAGAACACATTAAAAAATCATATTTTCTAGTGATCAAAAGATATTCGAGGGAATTACAGTGAGTAAAAAATGCCAGTCTCAAAAGATTACATACTGTATGATTCAATTTATATGGCATGCTTGAAATGATGTACTAATCGAGATGGAGACTAGACTAGTGGTTGCCAGACTGGGGTGGGGGCGGTGACAGAAGGAAATGGCTACAGCTCTGTAAGAGTAGCACAAAGGATCCTCGTGAGGGAACTGTTTTCTGTCATAACTATGTGGTCACAGAAATCTATACGCGATAATACTGTATAGAATTAAGTAAACACACACACCAAGGAGGGTGTGTAAAACTGGCCAGACGTGAACAGGCAGATGGATTGCTCAGCATCCGTTTCCAGGCTGTGATATCATAGGCTCTCTCTGTATTACTTCTTACTATAATGATCTCAAAGTGAAAAGTCAAAAATTAAGATACTGAACTCTGGGTCTAGAATTGGAGTTTCAGCTCTGACCTTATTCTACCACAAACAGTGAAGGCAAATAAGAGGACAAACTAAGCAAAACAACCGCACGAGGTGCTTTCTGTAATCTGCATGTTGCAAAACGCCCTCCAGTTTGGGGCCTTAGGATCTTCCCTCCTGCCTCCCACCATCACCTCATCCCTGCTATGGAGAACAGACAAATACATGTTTAATCAATAATAAACTGACCTGAAAAGGGCCAACGTAAGTGGCATATACTTTGAGAAACCTATGTGCTCAGAGAAATAAATCTGTACAATCGGCAGCAACTCATTTGCTAAAAACGGGGCCCGTGTTAGTTTCCCAATACTCTACAGGATACATGCACATAAAGTAGATTAAAACCTTCCTATGCGTCAAATAGTTTTTCAGGAAACTGTCTTTTACTTCACTTCGTAACAAACTTTCTCATTTAAAAGACTACTTTTTCCCAAAGTTTACTGCAGTATTTTTGGTATCTGTCATACTTAGATGGAATAACTGCACAAGAAATCACTGGGTAGCCAGCTAAGCTTCTTTCTCACTTGATAAATTCAAACATTCTCTAGGACATGCAAGGTAAAAGCATAAACATCAACAAACAGTGAAAAAGCTTAGGTTTTTACTTCATATGAAGATGTGAGTGACTTTCAGCTACACATTAAAAAAAAAGCCCTATCTTTTTGCTAGTGACTAATGTTTAAGGTAAATAATATTTCATATTGTACAACCACAACATTATAGTCTGCATGTAGTACATACTTCTCAGCAAAGTAGGTGAAAAATAATTTTAAAACAACAGTTTAAGTTCTGAACAACTGACTCTAACTTTCAGATCATATGTTATTTATTGATCTGGTATTCCCACCTAAAATTATACTTCGTTTATTAAAATAATAGGAATAGTAGCTTTATTCAATATATACAAGTCTGCTTCATAGAGGAGAGAATATAACTTTATATTCAAAGAGACCAACTTTATAGTTTGTTTTAAACTGGCAGATACAGAATAAATCCTGGTTGATCTGAGATGACAGATACCCAATTTTTTTACCCCAGTTGTCCCTGGGGGAGAGAGATAAACATGTCCATGCTTTAGGAGACACAAATAATCATATCTATGGATGAATGAAGACACACATGCCAATTTATTAAAAAGATTTTCATGACATCTAATTTGCAGATTCCTATGTGAATGCACCCATGTAATTCAAATTTCTTTTTACTGGAAAAAAAAAAAACCACAACAAAAAAGGAACGATAACAGCCTATAACATAGTGTATAGCTTGCATACTTGTCAAAGGGAAATGACAAGAGAACCATTAATGCTCTTTAATGCCATTCAATCATCCATGTCAATGCTGGCCAATGGCTATTTAAGACTTATTTAACATATATATATATGTATTTTTAAAATCATAATTTGATAATCATGCTCTGTGTTCATTAATTTTTCCTTTTGTTTTAAAAAAAACTAGCAACAGGATTATCAGACTCTGCTTATTGAATTCAAATGTGGAGAGGTTATGAAAGAATGGCCAGATAAAATCAGGAGCACATTTTATCAGTACTCTTCCTACGTCAGCTAGTAGTTCTGAGTAATTTTATTATTTTGACTCTTTCTCCTCCCATGAGAGTCATATCACAGTCAAGTGTCAATCAATAAGCTATTTATACACATCTTAGGCTAGTCAGTGCAGCGCAAATCAATCTCAGGGCGTGGTGATGCACATGACCCTCTCTATATGAGTCCCACGTCCATTAGGTCCTGCAGAGGCTTTGTGGAATGCTGCTGCTATCACATTTTCCTGTATGGCTGTTATAATGTTGGTAAAGGGAGAACAAATTCAGTTGAGCTGATTTTCCCACTGCCTGGTGCTATTACATGTTGTATTTCCATTTCTTGTAGTTTTATACAAAATGCTAGCACATTATATTTTCTCTCTGGGACATCGCTGTCCCTGACACTTCCCTTCCTCGATCTGTTACCCACTGCTCTTACAGATTATGGTTTTGTCCTGCGTGACAGATTCTCCTTCAGAAATAAAAGCTACTCTCTCTAGAGATACTAGAGAAAAGTATCTTCCTTTCTTCTTTAGCAGAGGGTGGACACTAGACACCTTGATCAAACCCCTGCTGAAATCAACTAAAAGTGCTGAGTCAAAAAAAAATGTCTTTGTAATTACATTAATAAGCTATCCTGACAGTATATCTGGGAGATCAAAAATATAATCAATACTCTCGCTAATGTAGTTACAGGACTTCAGAGGCTGGTTGTGGGCAAGGGAATCTGTCCTTTGCTAGCAAATGCTTTTCTTTTCAGCAAAGTCAGGTGGATAGGACTAAAATGTTATCTGAAACAGAGCCCTTGGCAAAGCTTGTCTTTTGTAGTCAAAAGGTAAGAACGACTGACAGATGGTGAGACTGCTGTTGAGGAAGAGAGAAGGCTAGGGCTCTGTCTGGGCTTTTCCTGCCACTGGGGAAAGCAAGGAAACATGTAGAAAAGTCACTGATGAAAAAGGAATGAATCAGATAGAGACACAAAGAAACTCAAGACAAAAGAATGGGTGGTGGCAGAAGTAGGGCTCAGTGACTTTCAAAATCAACATCACAGAAATAGGAGCTCTCACTTTAAAGAATTTCTTCTAACGAGTTCTGAAACTGTCAATTCATCTTACTTTTAAGAACACAAACTCTCCTTCTTTCCTTCCTTCCCTCTCTCCCTTCCTCCTTCCCTCCCTTCCTTCCTTCCTTTCTTCTTTAGCAGAGGGTGGACACTAGACACCTTGATCAAACCCCTGCTGAAATCAACTAAAAGTGCTGAGTCAAAAAAAAATATCTTTGTAATTACATTAATAAGCTATCCTGACAGTAAGGAATACAAAAGACCAAAAGCACAATGAAAGTGGGAACCCAGAGAGGTAAAGCAAGCACTAGAAAATGTGACTCAGCGTGTCTTGAGGGCATTTTCCCTGACTGGTTAACTTAACCTTTCATTTTACACAAAAGATGAAGTCCAGGGCCTGCTCAGGGGAAAATCCAAGCCACCCCTGCCCTGCTCCCCACCAACAGATCACACTCTCAGTGTCACAGTGAACTTCCAGTTCTAGAAATCAGCCTCCCTGCTAGCCCTCTAAACTTGTCTGTAAATTGGAACCCCCCCACTCCTTCCCACCTATAAACTTAAGGAAACAATCTATGTCAAACCTTGGGATAAATTATCTTTGAGAATCCCAACCACAATTCCAAGCCTCAGACAGTTTTGCAGTTTAAGTCCACATACCTAGGGGGCCTGGAAAACCTCAAGATAAAAATTCAATGTGGTTCCATGCTGGTTGTGCCCCACATAGAAGTAAATGAAAACTCTCTCTGCAGAAATCTACCTTTGACTGAGCCTAAAGGAATTCCTCAGAATTCTAAGAAATATGTAAAAAATTTACAAAACACATTGCAACATAAGAATCAATGAACAAGAGCTGACAAAAAACAAATTCAGGAAGACATCAGATATTAGAATGAACAGACACATACGTCTAAACAATGGAAAGGATAAATATTAGTAATAAAGAGCAAAAGAATATAAAATATGTCCAAGTAACAGATATGAAAGTGAACCACAACAGAACTTATAGAAAAAAAATTAAAAATAAAAGACCCAATGAAATAAAATCTTAAAGCAGATTAGTCATAGCTGAAGAGAGAATAAAGGACTCATATATACTGCTAAAGATACTAAGAGAAAACTGATATCTTTATATGTTCATATTAAAAAAGTATTGAAAAGTAATATTAAGCACTAAACTTAAGAAGTTAGAAAACAAAAAAATGATCTCTACAGAGAAGAGT